CACACCCACGGTCTATTTAGTTTGAGCTTCCTCAAAAGACCGACTTTTACTAGGCTATGACTACGTAATAGTTACTAGTACGGTCGACACAACTACGGCCGTCAGAATGCTCACATCGGTTTCCATCGACTTCATTAAAACATTTGCTTGGCATGATGATCATTATTTACATCAACCTCTATTGGTACATGACCTACTAGAATTTTTGTGTAAAGAATTCATAGCCGTCATGTTAATAGAAAACCTTTCAATATCTCATGTTCTATCATGATACCATTTTGTAACTAATAATTAGGCAAAACATAATATTTCAAAAGATTTCAAGAGAATGACCATTAATCGTTACAAAACAAATTTTACTCTGTGCGGAATATTCTGTTTTGAACAACACTAGAAATTGCAAGGACAAAATCGTTAACCACACAATTTGACTGCTAAATGTTATCTTACTAACGAATATTCAGCAACATGATTATAACAAAAGCAATACAGATTACCTCTATGCCATTGAGCATTCGAAGATGGTTGTACAACACATACATCCACGTGTCGTTCCGTTCGTGTTGCACCCATATTGCTGCCGTCCACTTGACTGGCACTACTTATGCACCGGAGCGTGATGTGACCAGGCTTGCCACATTTGAAGCACATCAGAGACTTCACTGCAGGCTGCAATGCCGTTGCTGTCATCGAAGGTCGTTCCACACTGTCGTTTACCTTGCTTCTACACTCTGACCGCTTAAGACTCACTTTTCTGCACTTATAACATTTTAACATTAGCTTGGCTCGTTTAGCATCAGGCACTTTTGAAAAATCATCAGATAAACTAACTTTGCGTTTCAAATGTGAGAATGCGTGCAATCCCTGCTGCAGTCGATCTCGTGAAGCAATTTTCGTAGTAAAGGCCAATCGTTGTAATTTCGAATTAAACTGACATAAGTGAGCAAGGACAGTCGCAATTGCTATCTGATTCTTGCTAGCGTCTTTCCAACTATTAGTCAGTGACGTCATCAGGCGATTTGCGTACGTAACGAGTTTCTTTTTTCATTTGGTTTGTCACTGTTAAAATTAATTAGCGTACCAGCCAATGTCTCGGTGGAAATAAATCTCGCCTTGAAAATCACCTTGAACTCTTCCTATGTTATTCTCTGGTATACAAATTGTGATAGCCACGTCGACCCTTATCCTTTTAATTCCTTACTGACTGTTAAAATAAGCTAGCCGCCGTATGGAGGGTATTCGGAAAAACACAAATCTACAGTCGCAAATCAAGATCTTGCGTCCGTATCCATATTGTCAGGGTCAAACTCGCGTAACTTGACGTTCTTCTTCATCTGAGGCATTTGCAAGGCCTCGATAAGAGATCACATAATGACATTTTGTTGTTCAAACATTGCACGTCATTGTTCACTCAGAGTTAGTTCTTTTTGCAATTGAACCAACACTGATCCCGCTTCTGATATCGAAGCAACATTAATTTTCTCTATTATTTTCCATTATTTTATCATGAATTATACAGTGGGCGTTATATGGGAAGTGTTGGTTCAAATGAAAGTCGATGCAATCACAGTTGTATTTCAAATTAACAATAATCACTTCGTACATAGTTAAACAGCACTTCACTACACAGCCATATACCACTTCACTATTACCACGTATAGACAATACGGAACGCAAGACAGTTCCTAGTGGAGCGGTCCTAAGCTTAGCTCGGCTCGAAGGCAAGTGTCCAGCCCTCTTAGCACCCCTCCCTTAGCTAGGCTCCGCCGTAGCACGAAGCTCGCCGAGTGTTGGGCATAATACCGAAGGTGCTGCCATCACTCAGGCGTCGTGCCGCGCTTCGTTTAGCGACCGTATTGATGACCGTCTCCGACATGTATATCTATACATATAATAAAATTGTAACTAAGTCGAATGTACATTAGATATTTTTTGGAAAATCTAATTGAAATGGACATTATTATCGATACAGAATCCGAATCTACAGTTTTTAGAATTTTTGTCTGTCTGTCTGTCTGTCTATCTGTTACCGCATCACGAGAAAACCACAGGACAGATTTTAATGAAATTTGGTATGATAATAGCTGGTTATCCTGGTCAACATATAGGATTTTTACCGCGGGAATATATCTCATTTGTGAGAAAAAATACAAAAACTGCATTGTAAGAGTATACTAATATGTAAAACCTAAGAATTTGGTTTTTGGTCATTTGAACGCGGGCGGAGCCGCGGGCAATGCTAGTACCATATGTGGCCATAGATTAAACATAAAATAAATTTCAGTAAGAGTTAGCTTTAAATAAAATTGAACAATTTATTGTTACATTGTTTTTATCTTTATTTTTGTTTTACAATCATTCACCGCATATTGAATCAATAACTTTTATGTTTCATATTTCAAAACACGCGTTCAGTTTAAATGTTTTCGTATTTTTCGAACATTTTTATCTTTATTGTAATAGTGTCATTCAATTGGATTTATGCTAAAATCGTTTATAATACTCACAGCTTAGAAATTGTAAGATCGACTTTCCATCAACCATATGGTATTTTGAGTTTTTTTATTATACTTTACTAAGCAATGGAAGCCCAGTAAAAGGCAGTATAAGGTCATATGAACAGTGAAAGTGAAGCGAAACATGTTTTTGGGTTTTCGGTTTTTTTAGGATTAATTAATTGTAACTACATCGTTCGCCGTTATTTTTAACCGACTTCCAAAAAGGAGGACATTCTCAATTCGTCGGAATCTTTTTTTTTATGTATATTCACCGATTACTCAAAGGCGCCTGAACCGATTTGGGTTTTGTTTTGTTTCAAAGGGTATACTTCTCAGGTGGTCCCATTTAATTTTATCGAAATTGGTCGAGCGGTTTTTAAAAAAATCCAAAATAAAACTTTTTTTCTTAACGAGCTCGCTTAAGAAACTGAGCAAAGCGTGTTCCCGGGTGTCGTACCTCTGATATTTTCATTTGCAAATAATTTCTAACATGATTACCAATTGCAACACGGTGAAGTAAAACATCGTGGGGAAGCCTGCATGTTTGAGAGAACCTAGTAGGTTTTCGAAAGATATATGAAGTCCGCCAAGCCGCACTTGGCCAGCGTGGTGGACTATGGCCCGATCCCCCTTGTATTGAAGTGAGGCCCGTGCCCAGCATTGCGACGTTAAAAAAGGCTGAATGCGTTATACTTTCCTACTAATAAATATTTTACTGTTCTACATTTTAGTGTTGTATGGTTTGTTAACATTACGACTAAATCGATGATATCTATTTTAAAAGATTTTAATTATACTAGTATTCGTTCAGTGGTCAACCTGGATTTCCCAACATAAAAAGCAGTCGACCATAATTATTACTGAAAATATAAGAAAAACATATAAAAATACAATTTAGCTATCCATATTTGAAAAAAACTGTTTTCAGAATCTTATTGTTTATTGCATATTTATGCATCTATGACCTTTATTATCTATACATATAATAAAATTCTAACCGAGGCGAATCTGTACATAATATATTTTTTCGAATTTTTTTATTGAAATTAGTCATTATTATCGATACATAGGCCGAATCTATAGTTTTTAGAATTTTTGTCTGTCTGTCTGTCTGTCTGTCTGTCTGTCTGTCTGTCTGTCTGTCTGTCTCTCTGTCTGTCTGTGTGTTACCGCATCACGGAAAAACCACTGTAGGGATTTTGATGAAATTTGGTGTGGTGGTAGCTGGTTATCCGGGCCAACATATAGGATACTTTTTACCGCAGGAAAATATCTCATTTCTGAGAAAAAATAAAAAAAAAATGTAATGTAAGAGTATACTAATATGTAAAACCTAAGAATTTGGTTTTTGGTCAACTGAACGCGGGCGAAGCCGCGGGCAATGCTAAAATATGTTATCGAGCGAAAAAATCGAACACTATACACAATTTATATTTTTTTTACATTTTATACATACATACATTTTATAACGTATTACTACTATGTAATCTATATATTAATAGGCAATGACAAAACAGTTCGGCACCTTGTTTTTTTCTGCTTGTCAATCGATTTTCTTTTTTTTTCTTTAGTAGCTATTGCCGAGCTTAAGTGATATCAATAAAAAACTTGGGAAATTTCGTGTTTTTTATATAGATAGGTAAATTCTATTCTTATATATTTTTCACAAATTTAAATTTCAACAACAATTAAGCTTGAATTTCAACCACTAAGCGAACACTACTACGTTAAAAACTTATCAAAACTAGTAAATAAAATGGAGAAAACTTGTTTGAGGATAAAAGGTATCCTATGTCGCTTTCGTCTGAATAGAATACTCGATAAAACGTCCAATTAAATTGGGATGTGTCACTTTTCACTTGTGAAAATAACTTTATGAGCTCAATATCGATTACTCGTAGCTGTTTTGAAATACTAGGAGTGATAGAGATAGAAAGAAACGGATAGAGATAGAAAGAGCACCGTGGTCAAAAATCAATCATAAATCATTGAGTTTGAATGTTATTTAAGGTCTTTTGTTAAAGTTACGTAAAATGTAATCTTCCTCATTAAATATAATGTAAAATTAAAATAAATAAATAAATAAATATGTTGGGACATTAACACACAGCATCATCTAGTTCCATGGTAAGCTACGAGGCTTGTATTATGGATACCAGATACACACTACACGAATATTAGGTATTACTTTAAATACATACATATTATAAATATAAACACCCATGACTGGAGTACAAACATTCGTGCTCATTACACAAATGAATGCCTCCAGCGGGACTCGAACCCGCGACCGCTGGCACTACAAACTGAGCCAAACGTGTAATTTAACATTTTACATGCCAAAGCTCATAATGAAAGTTTCAAACAGGTACAAAGTTTTCACTTATTAGTATATTATGAACAACACCAAATACATTTTTCCGTTTTGATATTGACATGAGGTCATAATTATTTTGGTTTAATACGTTACAGTGATTGATAAAACATGTCTATTAAAACCGGATGTGGGTCCGTGTCGGGCGGAAATCACAATGTACTACTTTGAGCCACATACGCAAAGCTGTTCGACGTTTCTATGGGGTGGTTGCCAAGGAAACGGTAACAGATTCGATTCTAATGGCGAATGTATGCAAAACTGTCTTAGCAAACCGGATCGACCGAGTGAGTTTGAAGAGATATAATTTATTTTAATGTTACCAATCTACCCTTACGCTTAGATCTTACATGCACTGGTATTTGATTTAATTTCATTATTTGTCTAGTGACTGGTTATATATTGTATTGTGCAAATTATTCAATTACCTGACTATCTTCAGTAGTACATATCTACAGTAATATTATAAAGAGGAAAGTTTTGTGTTTTTGTATGTTTGTAACGAATAAACTCAAAAACTACTGAATTGATTTAGATGAAATTTAGTAAGAAGATAGTTTGAGACATTCGGAAGGACATAGGATATTTTTTATTCCGGAAATCATCCTTTATGGGGATGAAAATGGGGATGAAAGTTTGTATGGGGAATTAACCTCCCTAGGACAGATTTGTTTTTTCATTAGGGATGAACCCGAGCGAAGCTAGAGTGAGTTGCTAGTAATAAAATGTGTTTGTACGTACATACATATACGTAATACATATTATGGTACATATAGTAATATTAGCACACTTAAGAAATTTCTTGAAATATTTAGTTCAAAATATTTTAATAAGAAAAACATCAATGGCAACCAAATTAATTTTCTAAAAATAAAATTAGAATAATAGCAACCAATAATCAAATAATAATTTATTAAGCATTTGTTATTTATACAATAACTTGAAAAACAACTAAGTACATAATATAATAGCAGGTCTGTTCCGAACAGCGTCGAAGTGAAAAGTGAGTTTTCACCCAACGCGCCTCCATTTATAACTTCTTATCGGCCAACGGCTGATAACGTCAGTTGTTTATGTTGCCACATCGTCTTGTTGCTAACAATATTAGGACGCTATTAACGATTGCGTTAAATTAAGTCAAGTCGTTAAAATATACACATATATAATTATTTGTACTAGTTACTTACTTTTGCTTCCGGAGAGTTTTCTAACAGTAGCTTTAACTGTTTATTTTAATTTTAAGCTATCGTGGTCACGGGAGATACCGTGATTTGATTCTCTCCCGTGATCATGATTGCTGTAAAGCATTCGAAACGTCGGAAAACAAAAATCAAAATAAATCCGCGAAAAAATTCGAAAAGATAGTTTTATTTAAATGTCAAATATTTCGCACAAATCTAAGAAAGTAGTCCCTTACATTATAGTTATAGTTTACGCGTGTTTTAAATTTCATCTAAATCCGTTTAGCTGTTTTAGCGTGAAGGAGTAAAAACATATACACACATACAAACTTTCACATAATAAAATTGTAAATAAGCCGAATCTGTACATTATATATCATTTGGAAAATCTTATTGAAATAAACATTATTTTCGATACAGAGGCCGAATCTATAGTTTTTAGAATTTTTGTCTGTCTGCCTGACTGTCTGTTACCGCATCACAGAAAAACCACTGGAGGGATTTTGATGAAATTTGGTATGGTGATAGCTGGTTATCCGGGTCAATATACAGGATACTTTTAACCGCGCTAAAATGTCTCATTTCTGAGAAAAAATACAAAAACTGCATTGTAAGAGTATACTCATTTGTAATTTGATGTTTAGTCATCTAAACGCGGGCAGAGCCGCGGGCAATGCTAGTATATACGATAGTAATTTTTTTTGCAATGTATTCTTTAATGTTTAGAGACACGTCCAAAGTGGTGCAGCTTAACCTTCGATTATGGTTTTTGTTTCGGAGCTCTCAAGAGATGGTATTACGACCCCCTGTGGAAAGTTTGTAAAGAAAGGATATATTCCGGTTGTGGTGGAAATAAGAATAATTTCTATAATAAAGAACAAGTGAGTACAACTTTTATAATTGACTAGCGGCTCACCCTCGGCTCGGGTTCACCTCTAGAAAAACAAAAACAAATCTATCCCATGGGAAAGTCAGACTATAATCTATCTCTGTACCAAATTTCATCCAAAACCGTTCAGCTGTTCTGGCGTGAATAAGCAACAAATATCCAAGCATCCATCTAAGCTCTCACATATTTAATATTAGTAAGTTTTAAGTTAAGTTAGCTTTTGAAAATGATTCGGAAATGTAAATATCAAAGGTGCGAGTCAAGATATCACTCAGTTCCCCAAGCGAGCGGGTTACCACTAGGCTAACACTCACTGCCTTCAATGGGCTATCATTTACAACATGATTACCACTCATCTTACGGTGAAGGAAAGCAACGTGGGGAGATCTGCATGTGCGAGAGAACCTAGGAAGTTTTCGAAAGACGTGTAAAGTCCGCCAACCTGCACTTGGTCAACGTGATGGACTATGACTTGATCCCCCTCGTATTGAATCGAGACCCGTACCCAGCAGTGGGACATTAAAAAAGGGGTAAATACATACATTTGTGTGTAATAATTTAAAGCTCAAAACTACCCAATAATAGCGCTAATAATATAATAACATCAACATTGGATAGCCAAAATTATTATTTTTTGGAATATAATTACTAAAAAGGTGACAAAGAGGCAAATCTTATGTGTAACACAACCTATTTTGATTTTATTTTACGCTCAGGCATGTTTGCAAGATAAGTCACTTTCTTCTTGAATAGGTACATTAAATTTAACAATATAAAATTTTATTTTTTCTCCATAATACATTCAAAGAAAATAGAGTTTGACAGACGGATGGATAAAAAGATAAATGAGTGATTCAATAAGGGTTCGGTTTTTCCTCCTGAGATATGAAAGCCTAAAAATAAAAACAAGAGCGTCGTCAATGAACTTTAGACGCTCAGTTCTGATCAAAGTTGGACTATTTTCTACATATTATTATTTTAATTTATACATATAATTAAATTGTAACTGAGTCGAATCTGTACATTAAATATTTTTTGGAAAATCTTATTGAAATAATCATTATTATCGATAGAGAGATCGAATCTATAGCTTTTAGAATTTATGTCTGTGTGCCTGTCTGTCTGTCTGGGAACGTATCACAAGAAACTACAAGGCAGAGTTTGATAAGGTATGATGATAGCTGGTTATCCTGGTAAACATATAGGATACTTTTTATTGCGGGAAAATATCTCATCACTGAGAAAATTATACTAACCGTTAAAACGAACCTAGTTAAAACATAAAAAGTGTATATTAGAAAACTAAAACTATGTCATGTTTTTATTTTATACTAGTGGCTCACTCTCGCTTCGCTCGGGTTTGCCTCTAGTAAAACAAAAACAAACCTATCCCACGAGAACCGTACATTTTTCCGGGATAAAAAGTAAAATTAAAGTTGCCTTTGTATTATTCCAGTCTATAATCTATCTCTATGCCAAATTTCATCTAGATTTGTTCAGCTGTTCTGGTGTAAAGAGTTACAAACATCCATACTCAAAAACTTTTATATTTATAATATTCGCGTAATATAAGAAAGTTTTATATGTAATAATTATACAAATATCCTAATTTAGATAGAAAATTAAGCATGTTTTGACTTACATTTCAACGAAGGAAGAATGAGTTGCTATTTGCTATTTTAATAATAATTAATATATTTTTTTCTAATATGCAGTTTTAATTCTTTTATTATTTTAACTGTCTCGTTAGTCTAGTGGCTAGCATGTACGGTCGTAGATCTGTAAGGGCGGGATTCGAGTCCCGGGTTGGGCTAAGTTCTGATATTGAGTTTTCAGTCAATAAATTCTCAATAACAGCTCAAAGTTGGCAATATATTACGTCGTCGCTCTTGCGCCTTAACTCTCGTCGTATTTAGACTTCGTCCCACTGGAGTACGAGAGTGATAGCACTATAATATCCCCTGCTTAGATGGATAGTCTCAATGATATTGACCGCCGTAGCCAAAATCAGTCAGGATGATTATTATTTCTCTTATTGTGTACTAAATATTTGTATTTACATTCTTTTCAACTACCGACGCAAAAATAAGTGCTATAAGTTTGACGTTGACGTCTGTCTGTGTGTATGTGTTTGTCTGTGGTATCGTAGCTCTCAAACGGGTGTACCGATTTCGGTGCGGTTTTCTTCATTTGAAAGCCAGTTTCCTTGCGGTGGTTCTTAGCTATGTTTAGTTAATATCGATCCAGTAGTGTAAGATTATCAACTGTTTTCCAAAATGATGTAAGGCATTTTGGCGTATGATTACTCGATTAAGTGCTTCACGCGTGCCAGTGTAATTGTTACATGACAATTAATTTGGGTAGGGTTTTTTTTTAATTTTTAATTTATAATTATAATAATTGTTATCTTTATTATATTTTACAGTGCGACTCTATATGCCGCTTTGGAAGCAGCGTTTTAACAAGTTCAAGTAAAAGTAAAAGTAAGGCTAATTTGGAAAACGTCCTTCTACAGAACCCATTAAGTGCCACTAAGAAGGGGTCAAATCAGTCACATCTTCTACCAACAGCTTTGAAGCATGATAACATATAATTTTTTTTTTTAGAAAATAAAAATTATTGGCGCTCTCCTACCTTTAAGTTCTTTAATTTATATGATTTGAAAGTTTTGTTAATTTTCCTGTGTAATATATAAATACTAGAAAAATGTTATGCATATCTCATAATAACCTTTATTTAGTTAGCTAAACTGCACACTGTCTACTGTCTCTGTATATTCTTTTCGTTAAGCTTGTTTGTTTTATATGGTAAGTAGGGTCACTACAAACTGAGCTGAGAACTGTCGTCATAAGCTGTATAATTAAGAGTATAATATATTCATTTATTTCAATAAATTAATTAAATTAGATGAAATGATTTTACATTAGATATGTGTTCTAGTGTTTATATATCAGAACAATATGTATCTCTACATCACTTATAAGATATACCGGAAAGAGAAAAGGAAAAGTACACACATAAATCCATCATAAAAATATATTTTGCCATTAGTTGTTTTACAAAATAATATTGTGATTAAAATAATATTATATTTTTTTCAAATAAATATCACAGATATAAAATTAACACCTTCAGGTAAATTTCTAAGAAATCTATTGTTGACTGACACGCCGGCGTGTCCGCGTGGAGGGATTAATTAAATACTCCATACTTACAATACAAAATAAACTACATTCGTTCTAAATTATATTTAAAAAATAAAACATTTTTGGTGCAGCTACAGCATAAAATACAAGTATGTATATATTTACATTACAACCTTCATTAACTTAGGATAAAATAAAAAAAATAATGGTCTAAATCCACCCACGCCATAACAGAAATTTTAAAAATGTATGGAAATGACATATTATCCAACCGTTGTGTCACGTGGTCAGAATTATCTTTTATTTTTCTTTTCTATTAGGGCGTTTGTAAACCACGCTTTAAACGCGAGCACAATATAAGTCATGAACGCGCATCATCTACGCGTATTTTAAACTGATATAATTTAAAAAAGGGCATGAACACTAGATTTTTTTTAAAACGCCAACATGCATATTGTCATAAATATTCGTCGTCTAAATATATTCTGTGTTAATATACTGAAAAAGTACAGATTACGTCTTGATTTAGCATCAAAAAACGGATATTGATAGCGCTATACTTTGTGTCGAACGCATGGCGACAGTACGTTGAAAAATATCACCGTGTGCATGCCCTTATCTACATCGGTTGTAGAAATCAATTTGTCTATGACAGCAAGCGATATCTATTTATAGATACATTATTTTGTTCTATAATTATAATATAGAATCATCGAAAATATTTTCTTCATTATAGTGTACACTATATAAAATAACAATTAATACACAAAACACAGTTTATGGTAAGTACAAATTAATTTACTTTTTAATTTTCTAGCACCCTTAATATATTAATCGACTTAAAATTTGCTATTTTCTTACTCGTAAAAACAAATTTGACTGAAATAAGCAGTTACTTTTCTATACTAATATTATTAAGAGGTAAAGATTGTGAATTGTGAGTTTGTAAGTTTGTGAAGTTGTAGGGGGTAATCTCTGGATCTACTCAACCGATTTAGATGAAATTTGGTAAGAAGATAGTTTGAGACTCTGGGAAGGACATAGGATACTTTTTATCCCGCAAATCATCCATTAAGGAGGTGAAAATGGAGATGAAAGTTTTTATTGAGAATCAAGCTAGAGACGAACCCGAGTCGCTGGTGTGTAATAATTTTATAATATCTTAGTTCGGTATTTTCCTCTAAGATTTCTTTAAGGATGTCCTAGAAAATAACTTCCGATACTAAACTACTTGTGCTTCGTACTTATTTCCTTCCAATACACTTTACTTGGAAATTTATTTACTAACACATTTTAATAGATTCGCGTGCAATTCATCAGATCTGAAATGAAAATGTTAATTAATTTACTTTGATTTACATTGTTTTAGATTAATAAAGTATTGTTGTATTTGGTTATAATAAATAAATGGTAAATAGTACTTAAAGTATTTTTCACTTATTACATGCTTTGTATAGACAAAAGCTGAAGCTTCAATTTTGTATATATGAAGCCGATCGAAACGAATAGCTATATTTTAATCGATACTGTTTTTATGATAAACAATTATACTGTTTGTTCTCAATTGATGTGCAAATAAAGAGATAGATGAGAATTACCAAAGTTATTAATCAGGGTGTAATAGAACCATAACCTTTTACAAATGTTGTTAAACTAGCGTCTCACCGATCGTTCCTAGATGCGCGAATTACAGTGTCAATTTCATGAGTTTTAATTTTTTGCACAGAACTATGATTATTTTTCCAAAATAAAAGTAGCCTAAGTTACGCTTTATAACATCAGCTATGTGCTTGTGAAAGTCCTAACAAAATCGGTCCAGCTATTTCGCAGATTAGCCTGAACAAACAGACACACAGACAGACAGACAGACAGACAGACAGACAGACAAAAAATTCAAAAATTATTGTTTTCTTATAAGTACTGTATACACTATGTACTGTGTTCATATGCATTAGTCAAAAGCTATTATTTTGACATTACAAACAGACACTTCAATCTTATTAATCTGTATAGTTGTCAAAATTATTTGTGGTAAGCTTCACTTAACATTTAGTTAAATTATTATGTTTTATTTTAAATGGTTCATAAATAACAAAAGTTATATCAAATTCAAATTTTTAAATATTTTAGTCGGCATTAAATTATTACAATTTTTTACTGAACGTCACGAGTCTACTACCAGTTCGGAAAGAAGAAGCCTCAGACCTGAGAAGAACTGGCGAAAGAAACTCAGCGGGACCAATATTAACTTGTTATCAATTCAAATAATGACCTAGGGATGAAACCGAGAGAAGCTAGAGTCAGTCGCTAATTCTATTATATATGTAGAGTAGATAAAAAATAAATTATAGCTAAATTAAAGTATATACTTGTAAATATAGTTTACCTTCCATTACTAACACTAGACATAACTTTGAATATATACTGCGGACATACTTCAGGATCCATCATTCTTGTATGGAACAACAGTCCTTGAGACAAGCAATACATAATAACAGGTAAAGGCACTCTATCTGTTAAAATTTCTTTCTCGTATAGAATCGTTGAGAAAAGCTGTAAAAAATATAAAATAAATATGTTGGGACATTAATACACAGTACCATCTAGTTCCATGATAAGCTGCGAGGCTTGTGTTATGGATACACTTATTATATTATAACTATTATAACTTTAAATACATACATACTATGAATATAAACACCCACGATTGGAGTATAAATACAATACAGCGGGACTCGAACCCGCGACCGCTTGCACAGCAAGTAGGTATGTCACTACTAATGTAATATAAGATACGTTATATCCTGGTAATGCCTCGTATAGGATAATAATAATATATACAAGCGATGCTGCGTGCAGTAACTAGTTCTAAATAAACACTAAATAATAAGCTTCAAATGCAGTTTCTTTAGCTAATATGAAAAAAAACGCAACAACTCTCCTCTCACCTTAAAAGCTCCTGTCAATGATGCTATTGCAAACCCTAAACTAGGTTTGAAAATGAATGAAAGTCCTGCGAGACATCCAGCAGGTAACGCGTACATTGCGGAGTCGACACCTCTCTTACGACACAAGTAACATATTACAGCCTGCAATGAATTGCTAATTAAAACTTATATTCAACAAACAGTTATACGTTAATGTATTTGGAATGGTTTGGGAAGATAAGTTAAAATATAGTGGATAAAGTGAAAATTTTAGAAGCGATAATATATTTTTTTGTGTATTTCGCCGTTCACGTTTTTAATAAATTATTGACAGTATGGATGCAGTTCTAATCGTAGTACATCGAGAAATAAAAAGGAGAATCACGAACTGTCTCGATGGTCTAGTAGCTAGCATGTACGGTTGCAGATCCAAAGGTCTTGGGTTCGAGTCCAAAATCGTGCCAAGTTTAGTTATTGGGTCATTCTGCTTAGAAAGTATCAGTGACAGCCCGGAACCCACCTCCGGGTTATACAGTTGGCGATGTTACACCTCCATGCCTTGCAGAGCATGTAAAGTATTTTCCAATACTCAACCTCTCAAAGGAAACAAAATGTTAGAATAGTTATAGAGAAAGCTAAATCTTAGCGACGCGAAACTAGTATGCATGTACATGATATAATTGCAATGACTTTTTTTCTAAAGTGTATAAAGTAAATCGATGTAAAAAGAACCATATAAACACCCATGACTGGAGTACAAGCTTTCGTGCTCATCACACAAATGAATGCCCCCAGCAGGACTCGACCCCGCGACTGCTGGCACAGCAAGTAGGGTAACTACAAACTGAGCCAAGCGGTCACATCAATCAATGACTTTTGAGTTTTATGGATATTATAAATACATATTTTTTAAAGATCCGATACAAAATCTCATATATCTGAACGAGTACATATTACATTCGCTATAGGAGTATTCAATTCCATGTGATATATACTCGTTCGAATAAAAGCAGACGAAGTGTTATTGACAAGCGAAATCACGCTTTCAATCTCCCAACAAATAAATCCTACACAAATATTTAAGTTAACAAGTATAATCGTACTCTGTAAATACCAATATAACTCGCGAAGAAAAGCGCTAAGTCAAAATGTCTTGCTCGTAAAATGGCCTTCCATGGAGAAGATAATCTTGATAGTAGCACTCTGGCCACATTGATACCAAAACCTATTCCAAAGTACTTGAGGGCACCCTGCAATTATTAATAATATATAATTATTAAATACTAGCGACTCAACATCGTTTCACTCAGGTTCGTCCCTAGCTTGCTGCCGAAAACAAACTTTCATCCCCATTTTCACGCCTTTAAGGGATGATTTCCGGGATAAAAGTATCCTATGTCCTTCCTAGGGTCTCAAACTATCTTATTATCAAACTTCATCTAATTCGGTTCAGTAGATCAAGAGATTACCCCGTACAACTTCACAAACTCACAAACTTTACCTCTTTATAATATAAGTATGATTAAATGATGCTGTGTTTGCTTGTGATAAAATAAATAAAAAAACGACTATTTCTTTATTAGAAAGCTTTCTGTTAGAAAGCTATATGTTCATGTCCGATCTAACTTTTGTTTCAATATATCTCGTATTTTTGGAAGATATAAGTGTATTATAAAAACTCTAGAACAAAATTTTATGGTTTTAGACCAAGATCTTTGGCTATACGCTTTGGCTATATCAGAGAGTTAGTTAAATAGTTAATATTATCTATACTTCTTTAAAATAATACAATAAAAAATGTAAGAAATATATAAATGGAGATTAATGAGAAAATCGATTCAAAATCTGAATTCAAATAAGATACCTAACTAATCTTAGTAGAGGTTACTTAAAAGAGAAAATTAATACTAAATGACTCATACAAAAAAAACCGACTTCATAAAAAGTGAACTAAAAAGAAGGGAACAAGTTATCCATCGATCAAAAAAGTACTAGATATACAATCAGCGATAAAAAATGTCCTCACTGAATGAGCGCTCATTTGAACATTTGAATGCGCTTTTAATATATTTTTTTGTGTTAAAGATAATTGGTGACAGTTTTAAGATAGCTTTTGCATGGGATTGTGTGTTTAGTACTTTTTTATCCATGAAGCTTTCAAAAGAAAATAGTATTATCCAGTAGGAGGTTTGCATGATTTATACTTGTTGCTCGTATAATTACTTGTGTTACGTGTCTCTATTATATTTTTATAATACTGCCTTAGATTTACTCGAATATTATGTGACATTTAAAAAAACACTATCTTTTCGAACTTTTTCGGTTATTAATTTTGGTTTTTAGTTCCCGACTATTCGAATGCTTTGCTTGAGACTCCCTCGAAAGGTAGTTATTAATATGTAATCAAAAAAAATATTACTATGAAAGTAAAATTTACCTGAGATATATGTTGTAAGCAAGAGCCTTTGTGCGGACAAACGTTATCTAGTTCGTCTTTTTTGTGTCTTACTTTTTCCACAGTGAAGAGCCTTGAACAATAATTAAGAAAATTATGTTGAAATTGTTTTTAAACATATAACATAAAATATATTTATAATTATATTTTATATAACTTACATGAAAGTATAAACATATATTAATTTTTATGTTATCTTTTAAAAAACTGTGTTACAGCCAGTATTTTTGATTTTTTTTTATTTCTTTGTTAATACCCATAGAGAATGGCCTGAGTAATACTGTCATGAGTTTGACTACTCTTTAGAAAGAGAGAAAGCGAACGTGCGGCTAATACCTATCTTTTATTCCAATTTGAAATTTTAAATGGAATCTAAAAAAATATATAATATTCTCGAAAATTAAATGTAAAACAGTTATAAATATGTAACTTCAATAATCGTATTTCAACTAATGCAGAAGACTTCTGGCCGCACATTCGTTTTGTTTCTTTCGCTTTTCTGCCATTTTTTACTGACAAATCACAAACAGACTCATGTATTTAAACAAACAAAAAAACAAACAATCTTTTTAGCTTATATTAGATAGGTATAGTTTACCGATATCCAATATCAGATATGATCTTGAATTCATATAAGGATCCAATGACGCTAGTTGAACTGGGAATAAATTTAAATTTTCCTAGAAGACGACATCTTAATAAAAATGGATTCAGTGTAACAAATAATAATAAAATATGGTTACTACTAAAACGTGCGACTTCATCTAAGTTAAATCAGAGAAAAATAAAAAGAAGCCGAAAACCTGCCTCAAGTACCTAATGAAAATTACATCATAATCGGTTCAGTGATTATTCAAGACAACATAGGCAATCTCTAATATATAAAATTCTCGTGTCATAGTGTTTGGAAAAAAACTCATCCGAAACGGCTTGACCGTTTCTTATGAAATTTTGTGTGTATATTCAGTAGGTCTGAGAATAGGACGTAAACTATTTTTCATACACCTAAATAAGGGTGATCCACCCTAGGGACGAACCAGAGCAGAGCGAGAGTGAGTCGAAAGTCTAATATATAAATATCTCGTTCCACGGTGTTTGTGGTCGCACTCGACCGATTTTAATGATTTTTTTTGGTATATTTGGTAGATATGAGAATAGGTCGTGAAGTATTTTTCACCATCCTACCCCCATCTCCTATTTTTTTATCGCATTTTAGTATTTTTGTATGAACAATATTATACAAACTCCGCGCAGGTTCGTCCTTAGTTACGTTTTTTTTGTATAGATTTTTCAGAGATGAGATATTTTCCCACAGTGAAAAGTATCCTATATCTTGACAGGAGAGACAGGCAAAGAGAAGAGGAGACAGGCAGACAAGAATCCTAAAAACTATAGATTTGGCCTTTTTATCGAAAATAATGACTATTTTAATAAGATTTTCCAAAAAATCTATACTAATGTTATAAAGAGATAGTTTGTGAGTTTGTGAATTGTTAGTTTGTGACGTTGTAGGGGGTAATCGTTGTAGGGGGATGTACTGAACCGATTAAGATGAAATTTGGTAAGAAGATAGTTTGAGACCCTGGGAAGGACATAGAATACTTTTTATTCCGGAAAACATCCCTTAAGGGGTTGAAAATGGGGATGAAATATGGGGAATTAACCTAGGCATGAACCTCAGTTAGAATTTTACTATATGTATAGATTAATACTTAGAACAGGATATACCTACTTATGCTGAGAGCTTTGTTAATATAGGATTTACTCATATCTACAGATAATCGACAATAACGCTTTCAGTGTGGTAGATAACGAAGATAGCGATGTTTGCTAGCAATGGTCTTAGTTGGATAAGCATACACACGATACATCATAATTTGTCTTTTCATATACGAATGTTTCAGAATTTCAGGGTTTCAGTAACATTTTTTAATGATGATGTTTTATCTATACTAATATTATAAAAAGTTGAGATTATCATTTGTTTGTTTAAAAACAATTTTTGAACGAATAGTCTAATTTAAATTCTTTATCAATTCTATTACCTAGTAGCGACTCATTCTCTCTTCGCTCTGGTTTGTCTCTAGGTTGATTCCCCATACAAACTTTCATCCCCATTTTCACCCCCTTAAAGGATGATTTCAAAAATAAAAAATATCCTGTGTCTTTCCCAGGGTCTAAAATATCTTCTTACGAAATTTCATGTAAATCGGTTTAGTAGTTTTTGTGAGTATTCGTTACAAACATACAAAAATACAAATCTTTCCTCTTTATAATAGTAGTGTAGATTTGTTAAGGAGGGTTATAGTCTGCAACTCTTAGGAACGGAGCTTTTAATAAATAAACTAAGCGAGTGAACTCGTGGGTACATGTTAGTACATTATATAGACTTTTTTTTATTTTGATTCATGGTAAAACCACATATATGCTATTTAGAAAACATAATAATATTATGCTTTTGAGCATACAGACGGCCAAAAGTTATATTTTTGTTTATACTGTTGAATTTTTTTTCATATTTTGGAATACTAACAAAACTAAAATATTTTTTTTAAAATATAGTTCCAATAGGAAAGTTCGAAATAAAAATAGTAGAGTAAATTTTTTTCATCAAATGTCTGCAATATGTTGGACACTCAAGACTGACAGGGTAAATTGAGAGTACAAAATATTAAAAAAAAATTGTTGCACGCAGACGAATTTAGAATGCCGAGTATTTTTTCAATTTCAATTTTTTAATGAAAATTAATATATATATGACTGTAAAATATGGTACTTTTTCATATCTTATTCAAATTTAAGGATACAGGCAAAGAACAGATGTTCTGATTAAGTATTTTTTAAAACTAGTACTTGGGAATGCAACTACCATAGACATAGATTCGTTACCAAAAACAAAAAAAAGTGACATTCTGTATCTATTCTTCTTTAAAACTGATTGTGTTCCTACTAAATACTAATGAAGGAGAGTAGCAAAAAATGATTTGTTAAAAACGTTTATTGTAAATAAATAGAATAAATTCAGTTGTAGGTAAAAAAAACCTATAATTATTTTTACTATACATAATAAATAAATATGTTGGAACAGTAACTCTCAGCACCATCTATCTAGTTTTATGGTAACCTTTGAAGCTTTTTTATGGATACCAGATAGTTGATACACTACATATATAACTTTAAATATATACATATTATAAATATCCATGACTGGAGTACAAACATCTCATCACCCAAATGTATGCCCCCAACGGGACTCGAACCCGCGACCGCTGGCACAGCAAGTAGAGTCACTACAAACTGAGCCAAATTTGTCGTCAAATAAATTAAAATGAATATGTAACTTACCAAAGTAACGGCGTTCTTTCATCCTTATCTCCTTCTAATCGCATTAGATAGAAAAGGAGAGCACTACCGACCATAAATAAAAACGTTAGCTTTGTTTTAGTTATAGAAATATATCCATTTCTTTGTAAAGCACGTAGCCAGTATTCGATTACCTAAAATATTATAAACATTCATTAACTTATATCTACTTCTATTTTTCGTTGTAGCTTGCTTATTGCGAAAAACCACATAATATGTGTGTCTGTCTATCTGTTATTTTAAAGTCTTTAGTGCAGAAAAAGACTTTTGTCCCAATTTTCCGATTAGTACGTTGGACCCCTCGATTTATTACTTGTATTCCAGATATTCTTCCCATTTTTATTTTTTTTTATTTTTTCCCTCCAATAAAAAAAATGTTATTTTGTTTTAATTGAACCTAAATATTGAATTCACACAGGAAACTTTAGATATATGCATATTAAATATATATTGTTAAATTAGTTTCTTATATACGTAACTTTGTATGTATGTTTATTTATATTTAGGTTTATGTAATGTACATTTTTATGCACCTTTTCCGCTCTTTTCTTATATTTTTTATATCCTTCTCTATCTGTTGCCTGTAAGAGATCGCTTACAATGATAAATAAGGCCGCCTATGCACACTTCTTTAATTGTATTTCTTTTTTTTGTGTATGTAGCATTTTACTGTGCAATAAATTGTTTATATAATAATACATTAAGGTAGGAAGACCAACAAAAATACGTATAAGTTATATACATAACAAGTTAGTTCGAGTATACCTAATTGTTAAAACCCAAAATACTTACCAAATTACAAAATAAATTTATGACTAAACCTCGCCTTTTCGGTGGCTCGAGACTTATAAACACTCCATTCAAAGTGCCTGGGATTAGTATGTAATTGTAGTAGTTCATTTTGCGTCCACTCATCCATCTAAAACAAATTTCAGTAAATTAATATTAAATTCAAGATATTCAAATAAATCAGAGAAAAATTCCTATATATAATAGAATTATGGAGTCCAATTTTTTATATGGGAGTATTTTACGTAATTTACACACAATAATGTGTAATTTTGTGAATATATTTCATTTTTTATTATTCAAACCCTTAAATTGTTTATTTCTAGTTATAATAAAAGTTGCTGAATATTATTACCCTATTACTCTCTCATTACAGTCTCTAGAAAAACAAAAGCAAATCTATCCCACGGGAACCGTAAATTTTTTCGAGATAAAAAGTATGTCCATGTGCTATTCCAGACGATAATCTATCTCTGTGCCAAATTTCATCCAGATCCGTTCAGCCGTTCTGGCGTGATTGAGTAACAAATATCCATTCAAACATTCAAACATCTAAACTTTCACATTTATAATATTAGTATTTATTACTATTTATTACTAGTTATTATTACTATTTATTACTAGCTAATATTATTTCGTATTATATAATCAATAATTTTTCTTTTCCTTTTTTTATTTTACTAAGTTTGTTCCATTTATCACCAAGTTTATATAAACCTAAAGCAAATATTTACAAAATGCTATAACAGATGGTCTGAATTGATCGAGTTCTATTTTATAAACCGGTTTTAGATGCACAAAGATGCAATTTGCACTATTCTATTGCAACCTAAAATCTGCAGTTTCTTGACGCAAATCCTTGGGAAGGTTACTAAAAGGCGTTCTACTTAAAATAAGTAAGTCTTTTCATTCCTTATTTAGGACAGAGTAAGACTCGAGTTTAATGAATGGATTCAAAACAAGTTGAAATGTCTAAAGCGAAATATTTGTAGCGTAGAAAATTATTTTACTCGATGTTGATAAAACGATAGAATAAGAATTTTATAAAATATTTTATATCTATACATATGTATAATATAATTGTAACTGAGTCGAATCTGTGCATTAAATATTTTTTGAAAAATCTTATAATTGATACCGAATCTATAGTTTTTAGAATTTTTGTCCGTCTGTCTATCAGTCTGTCTGTCTGTTTTTGTCTGTCTGTCTGTTTTTGTCTGTCTGTCTATCAGTCTGGGAACGCATCACAAGAAAACCACTGAACAGGTTTTGATGAAATTTGGTATGATAATAGCTGGTTATCTGGGTCAACATATAGGATACTTTTTACTGCGGGAAATTATCTCATCTCTGAGAAATCTATAGGTACTAAACGTTAAAACGTAACTTATAATGACGTAACTTATAATGAAACGCTAGTATTTTATATATTTCTTTTATATCTATAATTAAATTAGTTGGGACATTAACACACAGCACCATCTAGTTCCATGGTAATCTACGAGGTTTGTGTTATGGATAACAGATAGTTGATACACTACACATATATAATTTTTAAATACATACATATTATAAATATAAACACCCATGACTGGAGTACAAACATTCGTGCTCATCACACAAATGAATGCCCCCAGCGGGACTCGAACGATCGAACGAGGATCACTACAAACTGAGTCAATCTATAAAATCAGAATCAGGCTTTATAACCCTAAGTGCTGAACCTATATCTTTATAATACCGACGTAACTCAGAATAACTCTGTTGGTATTTGATATTTTTGGTTCTTAAGCATTTTAATGCTGATAAATGAATTGATCAGAAATGAGTGTAGAGAAAATATAGTAAGTATATATGCAATAAGTTAAAGTGAGCGCTTTAGTGAAATACAACTTAAATCTACTGAAAAATCCGGGCCAGTCAAATCATATTAAAATTCTTAGAACAAGTATAGGTATAAAGCGATGTTAGAAGAGTTATAACAAATGCTATGACAATTGTTAAATTATAAGGTCTCTTAAATCTATACTTAGGTCTTAAGGTTCCAGGTAACCTACTTTTCTATTCCGTTCCCTCGGCCTCAGCACGGTCAAATCATGAAAGATGGTTTTAAAAAAATACGAATTTTAACACTTTGTGAACTAAATGTTATTTGTAACTAAATTGTAAACTTATAATCATGTAACTATGTATGTGGTGTTAATTTTTTATTTTATTTTTCTATGTATTCAGCCCTTTTTTAAAGTCCCAGTGCTGGGTACGGGTTTCCCTTCAATGCGAGGGGACTCAAGCCATAGTCCACCACGCTGGCCAAATGCGGGATGGCGAACATCACATGTCTTTCGAAACCTTGCTAGGTTCTCTCAGACATGCAGGTTTCCTCACGATGTTTTCCTTCACCGTATTTTTCTGCTCTATTAATTTGAACTACAAACAAAATTAAATATCAGTTCTCTTCACCATTTTATTATATTTTTATTTGACGATCAAAGATACTTTATCAACACCATAATTAATTGCTTTTACTGTTATATAACAAATGTTCAACTTTTTATATAACAAATCCGAAAGCAGCACTGTCTGTTATCTTCTAACGCTTAAACCGCTGAACAAATTTCGATTAAATTTGGCAAGCACATAGATTGCATCCTGGGATCGGATATAGGCTACCCTTGATCCCTGCTCCTCTTAATACGCGACCGAAGTCGCGGTCAAAAACTAGTTTAGAATAATTTACTAGTACAGTCATAATTATAGTGTTACGTAAGGTCTAAGCAATACGCACGAGTGACGTGACGAAACATTGTATTTATGCCGCTGGTTGTTACAAGTAATGTACATTTTTTTGTTAATTAATAGCTGTAGTATAGTTTTAGCTTGTAGTATAGTTGTTAGCAATGATCGAAATTCGATCATAATTATTATTATTAAAAATTTGAGAAATAGACACTCACGCACACACACACACACACATATATATATATATATATATATATATATATATATATATATATATATATATATATATATATATATATAATATATATATATATATATATATATATATAGCTCGTCAATAGCTACTAAAAAAAGAAATTCGGTCAACAATTACAGGAGAATAAGTTACTGAACTTTTTTATCTTTGCCTATATATGTATATATAGAAGATATTAAAAGTCATAGGTTCAGGTTGAAATAATATTCGTCAGATAAATTATCTTAGTCCAGCTAGTTTCATAGAAATTGTTTTACTGGATTACGCGATATCTAACTTTAATGTCTTTCAGACTAATAATATTAGTAACATTTTATTTTTTGATAATTAACTCTGATAATCTTACTATATAAATGCGAAAGTTTGGATGGATGGATGTTTGTCACTTAATCACACCAGAACGGTTGAACGGATCTAGCACAGAAATAGACTGTAGTCTGAAATATAATATAGGCTACGTTTAATCCAGGAAAAATGTACGGTCCCTGTGGGATAGATTTGTTTTTATTTTTCACTAGCAATGAACCTAAACGAAATGAGGGTCAGTCTAGTTTTACATAAATCTTACTTAATCAAAAGATATAACAAATTGATTTGCTTGACAAAAAATGATAAAAATCAAACTTAATAATATTTAAGTACTTGAAGGTGTAGATAAAAAAAACGATAAGAGTATCATATCTTTAAGCACGTACCTTAGAATACAAACAATTGTGCTAGAACTACCACTAATAAGTGCACCTAATATGGTAGATCTTATATAATATTCTCCAGCTTTAATTAATTCTTCCTTTTTTAGTATTTTCTTGCCTTTTATCAAGTTTTGCGCCTGTAAAATAAAAATATTATTATTCATCTAAAGGAAAGAAACGGTGGTAGGTCAATAGCTACGCGCTCACTTGGAAAACTGAGTGAATCGGGTTCAAATCCCGGGTCTCGCACCTTTGATATTTTAGGAACCGATAGTGAAATCTATACATATTAGGGCTTGGGAAGTCCCAACGTTCTCAAAGTCTCGGAACATGAGACCGCCCACGGCCAAGGCCTTGGGATATCCCGGGATTTCAAGACTTTTCAGAATAAAATTAGATTAATTTTTGGCGAAATGTCCCATAAATAAAACAATTTTATTAAAAATCTACATTTATTGAACATACTTTATGTTTAAAATTCTAACATCGTTATTTATAGCTTAAACAATTTGTATATTTAATTCTTATAATCACAAATTCAGTTATTGGCAGTAAAATTTTATAATTATAAAGCAAATTTAAAAATCTGTCAAACAACTGCAACTCGTCTCGTCGTCGTCGTTTTTTAATGTTGCCCTTGATTTTTTGCTAGAATCAGGTACATTTTCGGGTTTTTTTACTGTCCGTTCCATTTGACTTAGAAACGTCTCGTCGGGCTTGTCGTATTTCCAATTCTGGCATTTGAATGGATTGATATTTTCACAAACTCAACAATACAGTTCCTCCACAAACGCAATAAGAGCAGTTTTAGCCAAATTCGTAGTAAAAAAGTGTCTCGAGTCTCGAACCGAAAGTCTCGGAACCGAAGCCCTAATACATACGAGTACAAGTTACAGAGTACGAGTTAGTACAGAGTATGAGTCTGTTTCTCCGCTTACTTCTTCTAGGCCACGCAATGGATTTTGATACGGCTTTCACTAATAGAAATAGCAATAAAGGAGGAAGGTTTATGTATATAATTTGTAAATATTTTTGTACAAAATGGCTGAGCCTAGATGGTGTTTTGTCAAAAAAAACTGTCTTCGTACAATTCCATGGCTAACGCTGGCTAAATCTTTAGAGATACATCAAACTTATTACAAAATTGTAGGTCATACATAATAAGACCTACAGAAAATTCTGCGCTAGCATGTGTCTTTCTCCTAAGGTACACTTACACACAATAACAATTTTTTTTCTCTATATAACCTACCTAGGGACGCACCCGAGTGAAGTAGGAGTAACTCGCTAGTTTTATATGATAATAGATGCATATAACTTTGGACAGTATTGAAACAGTCTCCAACAACTATTTGTAACAGATAGTGTTCCACAAATTAATCACTAAACTTCAAGGATACTCTTAGAGTAATTGGGTCAATTGATTTACTCCATTATATAAATCAGCACAATCGTGCATTGATTGATTGAAGTTCATTTGGTAATTGATCATTTAACAGATTTATTTTAAGAATACCAAATAACAAGTATGGTAAACGAATGTGGTAAATCAGGTATTTTTTTGTTTTACCCTTCTTACCATGCTGGTTGTTGTTGGTGTTGTTGTTAATAATTAATTACACATTATGTATCAATAACAACACTAAAAACTCGTACTTTACATCGATCACGTAGGATCTAATACTTAGTAGAACCCAGAAGCAGAACTAAGTGAAACCTAGCAGAACCTTTCAGAATGATTAATTATATTGAACCGTTTGACACATCATAAAATATGTTTTATTTTTTAATTTTAATTTAATCATTTATTTCAGACAATATTTACATAAGGATATATACCAGGCGTAATATATACTTTAAAACTAACGTATATATACTAACATATATATATTATAACTATTTAACACGTAGTGCAGACGTGTAAGCTGTGTCAGCGTTTTATGCCGTATTTGTTTTTTTTTTAAAAAGATACCGCACAACATTAGTCGAGTGAATAACTAGAAACAGATAAAAAAAATTCTTTAAATAATATAAGCTTAGCTCTCAAATACAAGGTTTAGAAAAAAAACGTACAACCTTGACCTTATTTATATTTTCAAGAAGTAATCAAAATCATGAATCTAAATACATTATAAAATTATAAGTTTTTGATCGCTTAAAAGTACGTACTCAACCTAAAAGTATTTTATTTCTTTTCTTTCTATCTTTTTAGATAACGTCAGTTATTGATCTTACAGAACTAAATAATAGTTGATTAAGTATCTTAAATTCATTTTTTTCTAAAGGAATTTCATAAAAAAAAGGATACAAATTATATCCATTTCTGTCTCATCCTAATCCGCTCAATCCATAACAAATATCTCAACATCTTCACTTTTAACTTTATAGTTTACTAGCGCCTCACTCTCGATTCGTTCGGGCTCGTCCCTACCTTGCTTCCATATACAAACTTTCATCCCCATTTTCACCCCCTTAATGGATGATTTGCGGGATAAAACGTATCCTATATCCTTCCCAGAGTCTCTAACTATCTTTTTACCAAATTTCATCTAAATCGGTTCAGTAAATCCAGAGATTACCCCCTACAAATTCACAAACTCACAAACTTTACCTCTTTATAATATTAGTACACATATGAATAATTCAAAATATCACTCACCATATGAATAATGAAATAAAACTTAGCACTGCCAATGAAAGAGTCTTTATACGTCGTTATCGACGATGCCCAACAGTTTTCGTGCCATGGATGTGATAGAACACTACAATGAACATCCCTACAAGTACTCTCAAATAGTTGTTTACTTATTATTACCATTATAAAGATTTATCTTCCACAATTTCTTGAAATGAATCTGTAACAATAATAATTTTTTTATTTATATAAAATATTATTATTAGAAGATGTTCTAGCATAGTGTCCGAAATGTCTTGTTCTACGCTGGACGTTGACGCTTAGAGATCCGATCAGAGTAAATATTTATGTTTTATATATAAATGATTGTCTCAGGGATATCATTATACCTACTCTTAGTAAGATATAGAATTTTTATTAACTATAATCCCTCACCGACCGCGGACACGCCAGCGTTACAGTTAACAATAGATTTCTTAGAAATTTAATTAATTTCTTAGAAATTTACCTGGAGGTGTTAATAGAGCGGACAGGTAATAATTAGTTGCAGGTGTTTGTTTCGTTGCAAATTACACAAACACAAATTTTGCACAAGACTTACTTTTGTATTGTAGATGAGCACTAATAAAGGATTTACGCAAACTCAAGATCTAAGAGATGAAGAGAATGAACTGGAGAATGGGTGGTACGCAAATCTTGGGATACATAAATTAATACAATAACCGGTTTTGTTAAATAAATTATTTCTAGTTATTATAAGTTTAATTAAATTAAAAATTAAATTACATAATATAATAAAATTAATTTTCAATCAAAATAAATAATATTCATTTTGTATAATTTTATAATTACTAACATGTAAATATAAGGATCATATCAAAGTCTAAATAAATCAAGTTTATTATTATTACTATATTAGATAAATAAAGTGAGTTTCAAAAAAAGGCAGTGGTAGCCCAGTGGTAACGCGCTCGCTTGGGAAACCGAGTGAAGCGGGTTCAAATCCCGGTTCTCGCACCTCTGATATTTTCATGTGCGAATCATTTCTATCATGATTATCACTTGCCTTACGGTGAAGGAAAACATCGTGAGGAAACCTGCATGTCTAAGAAAACCTAGCAATTTTTCGAAAGACATGTGATATCCACCAACCCGCACTTGGCCAGCGTGGTGGACTATGGTCTGATCTCCTCCGTATTGAAGGGAGGCCCGTGCCCCGCAGTGGGACGTTAAAAAAAAAAGTAAAGTGAGTTTAACTGCGAGCAAAAGCTAGTTCTACTGTATAAAGTTCAAATAAACTTACAATCTTTCGGTCAAATTAAGAATAGAATGAAGTTTCACTATAATATTGTAGAAAGATAATGAAGGTCAAAAGAAGGAGGAAATTAATTAACGAGTTTTGAATTTTAAAAGTATATTATGATTATGATATGAATAATATGTACGTGCAGAATAAAATCATTTTATTTTATCTTTTAATTTTTTCAATTAATATTATTTCAATTTGTTCAATTAATATTATTTTATGCTTATATCCTGCCTCGGTGGTGTAGTGACTAGCATGTACGGCTGCACACTCGGAGGTCCTGGGTTCGAGTCCCGGGTCGGGCCAAGTTTAGTTATTGAGTCTTTCTGTATAGTAAGTCTCAGTAACAGCCCGAAGTTGGGAAGTTGGCGGTGTTTCACCCCCGTGCCTCGGAGAGCACGTAAAGTCGTCGGTCTTGCGCCTTAACTCTTACTGGTCGTGTCGAGCTGTCGTCCCACTGGAGTATGAGAGTGACAGGAATAGAGAGTGCACGTGTGTCTGCGCGTACACTTATGCACTATAATATCTCCTGCGCAGTTGGCTAGTGTCAATGAGATTGGCCGGCGTAGCCGGAATTCGGCTAGGAGAACATGAAATTTTGTTTTATACTAGTTTATGTTCCTGGCTTCGCCCATATAATTTTTTTTTTAATTTGTCAGTGTTTTTCTTTTACGACAACTATTGATGAAATGTTAATGCTAGAACTAAAGTACTGTTAAAGTAACGAACGGATTTGGATATAACTTGAAAACTTTTTATCTTGCAAATATGGTTAAGTTTAACTTCAAAGATATTTTAACGTATTTTATTTAGAATAAAGTCCTAAACGTATTATTAAATAACCTAACCTAAGAACGCCGAAAGACAAAAATAAACTCAAGTAGATCTACAAGCAGTTATTAGCATTTGAGAATTAACTGTTAATTTGTTAATATTTTGTGTATATTTTTATCAATATTTTTGATACTTGTTATTTTCAATTTATGATTCATTAAATAAAACGACCTATAAAGATTTGTAGACAACCTCAAATTTAAAAACTATGCAAGCAGTATGTATATATATCTATTTGTACAAAAAATATATTTATATAAGAACACTAGCGGCTCACCCTCGCTTCACCCGGGTTTACCTCTAGAAAAGCACAAACAGATCTATCCCACGGTAGCCGTTCATATTTCCTGGATAAAAAGTAACCTATTGTTTGACCGGCAATATAAGGTATCATCATGCCAAATTTTACTAAATTAGGTGCATAAGTTGTTGTGTACTAAGCTATATATGTTACTATAGTTTTTTAACTATCCCACGGGAACTCTTTAATTTTCCAGTATGAAAAGTATCTGAAATGTTGACCGGGAATGTGAGGTACTACTATGCAAAATTTCATTTAAATCGTCCAACAATTTCGAAGATTAGCCCGTACAAACAGACAGACAGAGAAACAAAAAGTTTTTAGCATTTTTCTCTATATACAGACATTCGACCTCTACAGTTTTATTATATGTATAGACAATATGCTCAAAATGCTGAAAAAATTACCTCAATTGCTTGGCCCAGTTTGAGTCCCACACTACGACAAATAGAGTTGCGCCTACACCTTCATTACTTTCAATTACTAATATTTATGTCGCCGTATATTCTGTTGCGAAAGCGTTTTCAACATTACACTCATATATTTTTAGTTACCATTTCATGCATAAAAATAATATGTTATATATTATCATAATAACATATACTTTTGAAATATGATGCATACTTAATACTTGTAATATTCTAATATCCCCTAGTTAGGTGTTAGAACACTAATTAATATAAATCCATATCAAGACATGCGGTAGCGCGGTAGCGTGTCCAGCCAAGTTCAAGCCAAAGGAACTGGCGACGCAGCACCGTGTGTATATTTTACACGAACCACTTGGGGCCACTTTTCACCACGTAATAACTCAAAATATATTTAACATAAACTCTTGAAATTTGATTCATTTATTAAATCCCTTAGATTAACAAAAATCCTCAATTACATAAATACAGCTCAAACTGTTATTGAAATATTAACGTCTATAAATCGGCATTTTTATCACTGACTGACTGACATATAGTAGTAAAACCTAACCCACTTTCAGATGACCTAGAAAGTTGAAATTTGGTGTCCAGGTGTGTAATCATGTGCATACAAAGGAAAAAATCCGAAAAAAGTAAATTTTTAAAATTTGAAAAAAAAAACTATTAATTTTTATTAACACCTTGCGCCTTCCAAAACATAATAGCAATAGCCTAAATTAATTAATTAATAATAACTATAATAGTTCCCCGTTGTTTAGTAGAAAAATTTCTATAAATTATTGTAAATAGTTTATAATTTGAGTCAAACTTTGAGAAATCTGCTAAAACCAGTTATCTTATGGATCCTAATGAATACATACAAAGCATTTTTTTCCCCAAAATTGTCAAGACACAATTTTCACATTACTACTTTATCACTTTTTTCAGTTATTTGTACAAGTTCTACGAAAACTACAATTATATTAAGATAAAATTAATCTGTCAATTTCCAACCATTAAAATCAAACTAACAAACAAACATACTAACATTTCATTATATTAGTAATTTGTGACTATAAATGCTTTATAAAAACCGCACTTCACACTGTTTGAGTAATTGAGTTCGTAACTCAGTTTCCTATACATTGAAACATCATTTCGAAACTTAGAATGTTAGTAATAATAGAAAAAATAGTATGTACGTAACACGTTGTTCTTTATACCTGTTGGATAGTGTGTAAACCTCATTATTGTCTATGGTTAATTAGTATTAAGAAATATAAAATAGACACTTCCGTCTGGTCAATGGCTTCAACGTGAACGCTTGTTTCACCCCCCCTCCCCCCCCCCCCCCCCCCCCCCCCACCCCTTACACCCGAGTCCTAGTAAATATTAAATAAATAATAAATACATAGAACATAACATGGTGTCAGAAGTAAAAAAGGAAAAAGTCAATGAAATAAATAAAACTTGAAAATGTCGCACACGCAAGCTGAGCAAAGAATCTACGAAATCTACAGACGACATCATGGCGGACGCTGGACCATCGCATTTTTATACAATCGTCTTCGTCACTTATAAATAATATCGAAAAAACTGAATATACATGCGTCAAATATGCCGCTGACTTGGAAGAACTTCGCCACGAAATTTAAAAATTTACATGCGGGCAAATAACTTTGAAAAGGAACCTGAATCACGTAAGGTCGCCATTTTGTTAGCATGCATCGGCAGCGAGGCGTTAGAAATATTTTACTCATTTTTTTTTTTTCAACGTCGACATCGATATCATCTCTTTTCGAAGAACTCCTTAAGAAATTCGAGGATTTTTTTCTGCCTAAGGTAAACATAACAATGGAAGGTCACAAACTCTTCAATAGAAGCAAGGTCAAGACGAAGACATTGCGTCCTATGCTACAGATAGTCAAGAATATCAGCCTACAATGTGGTTTCGACGAGCTGCGCGACAACATATTAAAAGATGTATTTTCATGGAACCTAAAACAGCAATAATAACTACATCAGGAAAAAACTTCTAACTAATGACCCTAAGACATTTCAAGAGTCCATTGGATCTATCCAAAAATTGGAAACGTCAAGACAACAAGCCAAAGTTCTACAAGGGGGAAACAAGTCTACTACGTCACAGTCATTCGTCGAAAGGTATTCAGTCAAAAAACAGTCGACTAACAAACATTTATACAATTTTAGAAGTTCACGTAGTATCAGTCCGGGTAGGAGCCAGTCGAGAGGCAACCTCACCAGTCGAAGCCCACATCAAGAAAAAAGAAGCCAGTCCATGTCATCGTTGTGGTCAAATACACCGTGTCAGTTGCCCAGCCATTGGAGTAATCTGGCAACTTATGCAGGAAACCAAACCATTTTTCAAGGTATGTCACACCATTAAGAAAGTCAATGCTCTCAGTCAGTCAGACTCCGATGTAGAAATATTTGTAAAGTCAAATTTTGTTGTGTAATTCAACTAAAAACAGTGTATTTCAAATTGAACTATTAATAAATAATATTATCATTAACTTTATATTAGACACAGGTGCAGAACTAATATTTTATCTCTCAATGACTTTAGAAAATTAACTTATCTACAAATATCTTACAAAAAAAGTCATCACAAGTTAAGTACATTTAGCGGAGAAGTTATACAAACAGTAGGTATGTGTAGTTTGCCTGTAATATGCAATGACCCAGTCTCATGATATAATATTTCATATTGTTGATTTGCCATGTAAAAATATCATTGTCAAGAGTCTTGTCAAAAGTTAAAGTTAATCAAAAGAATACACAATGTCAAGTTTTCAGTCTAATATAGTACAAACAGATATTTTGTCCAAATATGCTGACTTATTGAAGGGATAGGTTGTTTAAAAGATTATCAAGCTCATCTTGTGCTAAAACCTGATGCCATAGCCTCCATAGATCCCTGTAGAAAAGTCCCATTTCGTCTTGCTGATAGACTAAAAAAGAAGAATTAGAGTCCCTAGAAAGAAAAAAATATAATTAAAAAGTAGAGGAACCTACAGAATGGGTTAATTCATTAGTACAACTTCAAAGAAAGATGGAAAGCTTAGATTATGTATTGATCCTAAAAAATTAAATAATGCTCTCATGAGACCTCATTTTCCTTTACCTACTATTGATGAAAAATTAGATCTACACTAAGTGGTGCCAAGTATTTTAGTACTTTTAGATGCTAACAAAGGTTTTTGGATGATATTGCTAGATGGAAGTATCCTCAAAACTTTGTACATTTAACACTCCTCTAGGAAGGTATTGTTTCTTAAGGCTACCCTTTGGGTATTAATGCAGCCAGTGAAATCTTTCACAGTGAAATGGTTAAAAGATTTAGTGACTTGGAAGGAGTAAAAATAATGATAGATGACATTTTAATATATGCTCCTGACAAAGAAACTCATGACAAACGTCTATAAATGTTCTAAAAGAGCTAGAGAGATAAACATTAATTTAATAAAGAAAAGTCAGTAATTTGTAAAGAAGAAGTCCGTTATTTAGGTCCATGATGTTTTAGTCAAAAGGTGTGAAAAGTCGATGAAAGTAAAGTCAAGGCAATTTGTGATATGCCTACACCTAGTAATGTCAATGACTACAAAGATTTTTAGGAATGGTCAATTATTTAGGTCCATTTATTGATAATTTGTCCCAAAAAACGTCTTGTCTAAGGTCTTTACTGTCAAAAAACAACAAAATGGTCGTGGTCACATGAACACAACACAGAATATAACAGTCTAAAAGAAATTATAACAAAAACTCCAGTCTTAGCTTACTATAACCCCAATAAAGATATTACACTGTCAGTCGATATTCGTCAAAAGATGCAATGGGTGCTGGTCCATTTTGTCACAATAATCAACCAATAGCATATGCATCATCAATCATTAACACCTTGTCAACAGTCATATTCTCAATTGAGAAAGAACTCTTAGCTATATTGTTTGGGTGTACTAAGTTTCACCAATACATATATGGTCGTCAAACTCTGGTTGAAACTGACCATAAGCCACATTGTCTCATTAATGAAAAAACCTCTTCATGAAATACCACCTAGGTTTACAAAGAATCATGTTAAGACTCCAGCCCTTATGATCTTAAAGTCTCATACAGCCTGGTAATATTTATATATAGCAGACACACTGTCAAGAGCTGCATTGTCAGAAAAAAAAACAATCTTTGAAAGAAGTAGATGAAGAATTAGACTTGCCATAAATATGCTAATTAGTACATTGTCAGTCAGTCCTGAAAAACTAAAAGAAATCAAAGAAAACTCAATTAAGGATGAAGTCCTAAGTCAAATAATTACTTACTGTCAAAACGGTTGGCCTGAACACAAAAGATGTGTTTCAGCATCAGTCAAACCATACTTTGATTTAAAAAACATCAATATATGTCATAGATAATATTGTATTCAAGGATACAAGCATAATAATTCCATTCAATATGCGTGATTATTTACTTAATTTAATTCATGAAGGTCACCAAGGCATAATAGCTGTATAAGACTAGCTAAAGGTACAATTTATTGGCATAACATTAACAAAGATATAGAAAAATTTGTCGTCAGTGTCATACATGTCTTACATTCCGCAATAACATAGTAAAGAACCACTAATCTCTCATGATTATAAACTTTTAGCATGGACTAAAGTAGGTATGGATTTGTTTGATATAATAATAAAAATACTTATTGTCGTAGACTACTTTTTCAAAAATCCGAGAAATAGCACTTCTTAAACTCATCTAATTCTAGTAGTGTCATTACTCATTTAAGTCTATTTTTGCACGTCATGGAATCCCTCATATTGTCATAAGTGACAATGGTCCTCCATTTAATTCAAATGAACTAAGTGATTTTATGAGAGAATACCAAATTCAACATATAACTTCTAGCCCATATCATAGTCGCTCAAATGGACTAGTTGAACGTTCAATCAGAACTATAAAGAATATCTTAAAGAAATGTTATTCTGATAAAAAAGATCCTTATCTTGCCATATTACAATATAGAACTACTCCTAAAAGCTGTGGTTATTCTCCAGCACAACTGTGTAATGTCCACGTAGTCTTAGAACTAGGATACCTATCTCAGATTCTAACTTGAAACCTAAATGTAATTGATTATAGGAGAATGAAACAACACATTGATACACATAAACAAAGAAACTCACTTTATTATAACAAAACATACAAAGTCACTTGTCCTTCTTTAAAGCAGGGTGAAAAAGTTTAACTTCAAAAAACAACCACATAATAAATTATAATGCTTGGATTCCAGGAATCATTTCTAAGTAGGCCCAGAGCCACGTTCTTATATAATTTCAAGTCCAGAAGGTGAATTTCGTAGAAAATAGAGAACACATTCATTCACCAAACATCCACCGACTATTCAAGATTTCAATCAAAGCCATCAGCCAATTCACATCATATTTCATCAAATTCCAATCCAACTTTGTCTTCTAGAACCGATTCTTCAATAAAATATTCCAGATTTGGTCGTCAAATTCGTAAGCCCGATAGATTCAATTAGTTATTTCGTAACTTTGTCTTATTATGGTAATTTTCGTTTATTTTACTTGATAATTATATTAGTTTTAATTTCAAAAATGTTTTTATATTTAAATTAATTTGTCACTTGTCATAGTCAAACTGTCAAAATCATAATCAAACGTCACTTGTCATTGTCATATGTCAGTAATTGTCAACTTCAAAAAAGATGTCATTTCTTCATAGTGTTGCAAGCACAATGTATTAAAATTGTATAATAATTTTTTTTTTTTTTGTTTGTTCGAAGGAAAAATGTAATAGATATATATATATATATATATTGTAAATGTATAAGGTATAATAGTTATAACTATGTGTGTAATGTAACAACAATAATTTGTAAAATAATTTTGTATTCCTTCAACAATTGTAATTCTGCGTAAAATTTTATTTTGTAAGGGAGGTGTTGGATAGTGTGTAAACCTCATTATTGTCTATGGTTAATTAGTATTAAGAAATATAAAATAGACACTTCCGTCTGGTCAATGGCTTCAACGTGAACGCTTGTTTCATTTACACCCGAGTCCTAGTAAATATTAAATAATAATAAATACATAGAACATAACAATACCGAGTGACGTCGTTGTTCTTTATTTTACTGAGAAAATGGTAGTAAAATATTTACAAATAGGAAAAGAGATACACATATATTTTTTCTATACAATTGAATACTATTTTTTTGTTTTTTTTTCTGCCTTTCAGTCAGATTATAGTAAATGTAAAAATAAATATTTATTTCTACTACACTGGTAAGCTTATCTGACACGATCGAAGAGAATTAGCTACTTAGTAAGGTTTTCTAGAATTAGCTTCTCAAATACAAAACTAAAAGTGAATAAAAATGAAATGAAAGTATAAAAGAAATAAGTATATGAAATTCTACCCACATAATTAACCACTTAAATATGTAATTTTCATATTATGTCGTGGGACACCCGGTAGGAAAGCAGTTTCTTTCGCTATCTGTCCTTGGGTCATTTAATACATATATTAAGTCATAAAAATGGTAAGTACGAGTACTAGGGTAACATAAACATCAAGCAATGTACATGTTGAAATTCAGCAAAAAAGGCCTGCACAGAGTGCAAACGAATTTCTTAAACATACAGTCCTTAACACTTATGATTCCTGGTACTTACGATGACTTTATATTATGCCCATTTGTTTATCAGTGGCTCATAACACTTGTGGCAATAATTGTCAAGTAAAACAGGCGATAAGAAACTCGACTCGGAATTCGAACCCAGGATCTTACGATCCATGGCTTATACACTAGCCAGTAGAAATTATTGGTTTACTAGCACTAATAAAAGACAATAATTTTAGCAATCTATATTCTATAAGATGCATTGTACTCTTGAACATTGAAAGGTTAATTGGTGGAATGATTCAGGATTTTATAAAAAACTGTTTATGGATGTTACGTCAAACTCATTGTCTGAGAAATAATAATCATAATAAATGTTCAGTAACTGTGTTTATTAGTTTCTTATACACTATAAGCGTTTCTTATCTCTAACTATTGAATTAAATACTTGTAAGTACTTTTGCGTGTTATTTATTAACCGACTTCTAAAAAGGAGGAGGCTCTCAATTCGTCGGAATCTTTTTTTTTATGTATGTTCACCGATTACTCGAAGACGCTTGAACCGATTTGGTTTTTTTTTGTTTCGAAGGGTGGCACTGGTTCGCAAATGTCTGATTAGGTATCTATTCTAAATGAAAACCCCCGTTTAGTTATTTTTTACACTTTAATGCATGAAAGTAGTTTTTTTTAAGTTTTTTTATTCTGTTCTGTAGTAAGTACATATCGGCGCCTGGACTAAAATTCTCTCAGATTCCTGACACAGATCTGATCAAACAACTTTACCATTCAAAAATTGAAAAGAGAATCACATTA